AGGAACAAACAATGTAATCCTAGACAATGCAATTAGACAAGAAAAAATATGCAGAAAACAGACAAGAAAGATGCAAAGCAAATATACTCATGAATGATATGAAACATCACCTAAAAAATTACACAGAATGAACCAAAAAAACAGTTAGAACATGATAGGACATTCAGGAGGTTGAATATATAATCAACATATACTCAATAACTTTCCAACACAATAGCAACCAATCAGAAATGAATTAATACAATAGCAACAAAAATATAAAGTACTCAGAAATACAGCCAATAAAAAATGTACAAGACCTTAGTGGAGAAATAGAAAACTCTGCCAAAACACATAACAGATATAAATACATTTTGTGTGGGAAAACACTCCTTCAAGATGTCCGTTTTTTCTAAATTAACATGCAAAGTCAACAAAATCCCAGCCAATCACAATGTAATTTTTCTTAGGGCTTGATAAGCATATTCTAAAATTCAAATGAATGAGTAAAATAATAGTCAAGAAAACTTTTTAGATGTGGAAAGTTTTGTTCTACCAGACGATAAGGTTTAATATGAAGCTGTAGTACTTAACACAGCACGTATTACTGAAGAAATATGCAAACCGTAGATAAAAGGAAAAGTACAGAATCCTGTCACAGGCTTATACACATATGTAAGGTTTGTTTTTTTGTTTCTATGGAGACGGAATCTTGCTCTGTCGCGGAGGCTGGAGTGCACTGGTGAGATCTCTGCTCACTGCAACCTCCGCCTCCTGGATTCAAGTGATTCTCCAGCCTCAGCCTTCCGAGTAGCTGGGATTACAGGCATGCACCACCATGCCCGGCTAATTTTATAAGTTTGATGTATGACAGAGATAGTGTCACCACAGTGTTACCTAAAAAAAAAAAAAAAATGGGGTTCATTCACCCGGCGAGTAACAAACAACTGTGAGTATGCAAGTTTGGATCAATAAGAGTTTTATTACTTGGCTAAGTAAGGAGGACACTGGGAATATTTTCCAAAGCAGCGTCTCTCCGAGGGAAATAGGAGAGTTTTATGGAGCAATGGAGAGGGGAGAGGCTACATTATTGCATGTATAGGAGGCGTCCCAGTGGTACAGATGCAGTCATTATGCCAGCACCTAAGTCACGAGTTATGGTAATGAAGCTATAGCTACTCCCAGGTGGAGACTTTAGCATGTAATGAGAAGAGTTCACCCAGGTTCATCTATAAGTTGCTGGGGTCTGTCAGGAGCTGGTTTTAACTAACTAGGTGACTGCAATCCACACAGAGTTTAGGAAGAAACAGGCTGCAGGCCAGGAGGCTGTAAAATTGATTGCTCAAGTTGATTAAATTCCTACAATCCCTGTCTACTTACAGCAGCAAGACCTTCTTTTAAAGAGCCCCAGCAGCTGTAAAATTAACCTGTGCCAGCAGCTGTGCTTGCTTACAGAGACAAAGACCAAATGTCAGTAACCACAAACGAGAACTTAGCTCAGCAGTGCTACCCAGGCCTGAATCCTTGCTTCATTACCTTATTAAAATCTCCACCTAGAAGGGAGAAATACACTTTGCTAGGCACATATAGTGCTGAGTACAAAAGAAACAATGAGACTGACTGGGCGTGGTGGCTCACGCCTGTAATCCCAGCACTTTGGGAGGCCGAGGTGGGTGGATCACCTGAGGTCGGGAGTTCAAGACCCGCCTGACCAACATGGAGAAACCCCATCTCTACTAAAAATACTAAATTAGCCGGGCATGGTGGTGCATGCCTGTAATCCCAGCTATTAGGGAGGCTGAGGCAGAACTACTCGAACCTGGGAGGCGGAAGTTGCGGTGAGCCAAGATCACACCACTGAACTCCAGCCTGGGCAACAAGAGTGAAACTCTGCCTCAAAAACAAACAAACAAACAAACAACAATGAAAAAAAAAACAAGAAAGAAAAAAGAAAGAATGAGACTGAGCACACTCCAGTTCTTCCCATAGGGCCCCACCTCTTTCCAGGAATCCCTGCCCCACTACATGCCCTAAGAGACCTTAAATATCCCTCTTCACCACACCTAGAGAGGGTACTTTGAGCATGAGCTTTTCCTTCTCCAGTCCTTCATAAACAAATAAAGTTTCTGCTCTGCTTAATGGAACTTGGTCTCATTTTATTGGCATGAATACCACCAGGCAGGTAAAGGACCCACTGAAGTCAAACAACCCCCCTTAAGAGTTGGTAACAGTAGCCTTACAAGTCAGTGGGAAAAATTAAACTAGTCAATGAATTGTATTGAGACAATTGGCTAGGCAAATAAAAATAGTAAATAAAATCACACAAAAAATAAATTAAAGAAACTTAAAAAACAAAACTAAAAGGCTGGGTGCAGTGGCTCACACCTGTAATCCCAGCACTTTGGGAGGCCAAGGCGGGTGGATCACAAGGTCAGGAGTTCAAGACCAACCTGGCCAAGATGGTGAAATCCCATCTCTACTAAACATACAAACAAACAACAACAACAACAAAAACAAAAAGCCAGGTGTGGTGTCAGGCACCTGTAATCTCAGATACTCGGGAGGCTGAGGCAGAGAATTGCTTGAACCAGGGAGGGGGAGGTTGCAGTGAGCTGATATCGCACCACTGCACTCCAGCCTGGGTGACACAGAGTGAGACTTGGTCTCAAAAAAAAAAAAAAAAGCTAAAAAACAAACAAAAAACCACAAGACTCTAAGAACCCTGGTGTAAGCAAGAATTTAAAACAACAAAATGAAAAGAGTGAATATATTTGAATACAACAATATAAAAAAATCTCTGTCCAAAAGAAGAGAAAAAGAAAAAAAGAACACCAAACACAAACCACTAATAGAAGTGGAAATGTAATAGCTAACAGGAAGGATAGTTTGAAAGTCCACAGTAAAACTAAAAAGACATATTCCTTATGCTACAGGCATTTAACTTGTAAGAATCTGCCCTGAAAAACACTTGCACAGGTATTCAGACATTTACACGGGTATTCACTAGAATATTCTCTGTAATAACATAATACTGGATTCAACCTACTTGTCCATCAATATGGCTAAATAAAAGTAGCATTTTTATATGATGAAATACCATACAGCACCTAAAAGGAACATATTAGATCCTTGTGCATCACCATGGCTGTTCCACTATTCACCAGGTGGTCAGGCTGTGCTGCCAAGATTAAAAGGCCATCAAGGAAGGGACAGCACATGATCTGAGGTCGCTGAGGACAGACATCAACCACATGAGGCCCCAAGAGAAACAGTGTAAACTTACAGCAAAAGGAGAAACAGGGCACAATATCCAGCCTCTTGCAATGCAAAGATCCCCCAGAGCTAGCACATCCACTCCACAGCAATAGGGCTGGTGTGATGCACACACCCCACTTAGTAAGGAAGAAAGATCTCAATCCACCCTCCCCACTCCCATGGGGTGTGAAATACAGAAAGCTGAGAGAATGAATGAAGGCCATTGACTTAAGAGATTAAACACAACAAAGGAGTAGACACGAAGCCTGAAACAGTGAAAGACACAAGGCATTAAATGCAGCAGCACAGGCTGTGAGGGCTCTAACTCTGCAAGGAAATGTTCCAGGCTCAAGGTCACTCTGACATTCTTAACTTGGCAATGGGCTATTAAAAAAAAAAAAAAAAAAAGGCATTAAAAACTGTCAATTCTTCTTGTCTCCCAGTTTAGATATTCCTTCTTTCATTAATTTAACAAACACATTCTAGGAGCACCTACTATGTCCCACACACTAAGGTAACAACAATTAATAAAGCAGACAAAGAGCACTGCCCTGGCAAGGGGCTTATGGGAAGATCAACCAATAAACAAATATATGCTATGCGACAGGTGCTAGGAAGTGAAATAGGACAAGAAAAAGGGAGAAGTCTATGCCAGATGTTTTCAATGTCAGGAGACCTGGAGACTAAGATTTCCGGACGGTGGCTACTTTCACTTTTCTTCCACTTTCCCGTGTTATCTAATTGTCTCTAATAAGCATGCTTTATTCGCATAATTGGGTGAAAAGGTAAAGCCGGGAGAAACCGGGACTCTTTCCAGATTCTCTGCCCCAGATGCCCAGAGGGCGAAGAAGTACCCTCTCAGCGTGGCGGGGCGGGATCCACGGTCAGACCCCCGCCCCGGATGCAGCCTCCAGGCCGGGCCTCACCCGCCACTCTCGCCTGCACAGGTGCCCCCTCTCCCCATCCCGCGCCCCGCGCCCCGCGCCCCGCGCCCCGCCGGGCTGCTCACCTACTCCCGCCGCCGACAGTCAATCATCCCACCGCAGCCACCTTAGCCGACTGCCCCGCGCCTACCTCCCGACTGCCCCAGTTGCGCACGCGTGTCACTTCCCCAGGTCCTCCGCGGCCTCTCTAGGAAACTGGGAGGCACAACGTCTCTGCTTCTCCCTGGCCCCACGGCGGCGGGCGGCGGGCGGCAGGGCTTGTCCAATATCTCTTGTCTCCCTCCGCTGGACACTTCCCTTCCAAGCTCTGATGCTTGGGCGCATTCCGGATCCATACCGGCTTTGGCGTGTTATCCTACATCCCTCCCATCGGGTCTACACGGCTGCCCTGGAGGCCTCTCTCCTTTCACGGAAGAAACGGATCCAAAGCTAGCGGTGAAAATAGGACCAGCGGCCTGGCACGGTGGCTCACGCCTGTAATCCCAACGCTTTGGAAGGCCGAGGCGGGCGGATTACTTGAGGTCAGGAGTTGGAGACTGGTCTGGCCAACATGGTGGAACCCCGTGTCTACCAAAAATAATTTTAAAAATTAGCTGGGTGTGGTGGCCCGGCGCCTGGAATCCCAGCTACTTGGAAGGCTGAGGCAGGAGAATCGCTTGAACCTGGGAGACGGTGGTTGCAGTGAGCCGAGATCATGCCACTGCACTCCAGCCGGGGAGACAAAGCGAGACTCCGTCTCAAAAAACAAACAAACAAAATAGGGCCAGCAAGTCCCCAAACATAAAACCCTTGAATGGGGAAATTCCCAAACAAGGCAATAAGCCCAGCACTGGCATGAGAGCTCATTATCTCCTTTTAAGTAAACGCTGCAAGCCCTAGGCACAGTTTTGCAACTGTTCAAGGGTCATCAGGCTGCACATGACTGACTGCCTTTCCCAACACCAAGATACTCAATTGCCCACTTTGGATGGAGCTGCAGCTTTGGGAAAAACAGATAATAAGAAATTACACAAATACATCAATGTAAAGCGGTTACGAACACTATGTTGAAATATAACAGTTATTTAATTGAGAGCGACTGATAATAATGCTTGTATTTTTTCTGGTACTTTTCTGTATACTTCCGGTAGCTCATAATACACTGGCTGCCACGCATTGATTTGAGCTGCCCGAGGAAATAGAGTCCGTAACTGGAATAGCCACTGAATCCAAATCTTTTGGTCTTTTCATTACGGTGCTTCATAAAAGCTCTCCCGTCCCAAGTCCCCGTAGAGGGAGAGTTGGAGATAGCATGGCTCCTAGCTGGGATCCCAGAAGCTAGACGTAGGGGGTTGCGGGCAGGATAGTAAGGGGGCAAGATTCCAAGGAAAACTAAAATCCCTGCCCGGGAACGGTTACCACCTGGGGAAGCAGGAATGACCCAATGCATCAAGGCCCAGAGTGTACTCAAAGAACAACAGGTTAGGATGAGGGTCAAAACTCAGACCAGAAAGAGCATTAGCTAGGCGTGGTGGTGTGCGCCTGTAGTCCCAGCTACTATGGAGGCAGAGGCAGAAGGATTGCTTGGGCCGGGGAGGTCCAGGCTGCAGTGAGCTATGATTGGGTCAGTGTACTCCAGCTTGGTCAACAGAGCGAGACCCAAGGAAGGAAGGAAGGAAGCGGGGAAGAGAGGAAGGGACAGAGGGAGGAAAGGAGGGAAGTGAGAGAGAAAAGGAATGAAAGAGAGAAGGAAGAGAGAGAGAACGAGAAACAGCAGACTGCTTCTTGGGTTACCACCTGGAGAGGCTGTGTAACATTATGAGTTGGAGAAGCAGGTACAAAGTAGTAAAAACTTCTATAAAACAGACAGCATGTGGCAGAACAGTGGGTTTTTAAAGGTGGGAACAAGAAAGCCAAACAATAGAAAAAAATAGATTGATTAACATCAGGTTACTTTTCTTTTAAGGATTAAAGAAGAGGGGGCCTTATGCTGACTCGGGTTAACTGGGCTCTTTCTGAATGGTTGCTATGAATTTCCTGTTTGCAGGAAAAACTAGTCTGTTAGGGGATTCACATACTTCCGTAAAATTTTGGTTTGATTATGTGGCATTTAGCATTAGGAATTTATTTATTTTTTATTTATTTAATTTTTTTGAGATGGAGTCTCCCTCTGTCACCCAGGCTGGAGGGCAGTGGTGTGATCTCGGCTCACTGCAACCTCTGCCTCCCCTCCTGGGTTCAAGTGATTCTCCTGCCTCAGCCACCCTGTAATTGGGGCCACAGACACAGGCCACCATGCCCAGCTAATTTTTGCATTTTTAGTAGAGATGGGATTTCACCATGTCTGCCAGGCTGGTCTTGAACACCTGACCTCAGGTGATCCACCCCCCTTGGCCTCCCACAAGTTCTAGGATTACAGGTGTGAGCCACAGCGCCCGGCCTTGTTTATTATTTATTTATTTATTTATTTATTTTTTTGAGATGGAGTCTCACTCTGTCACCCAGGCTGGAGTGCAGTGGCGCGATCTCGGCTCACTGCAACCTCTGCCTCCTGGGTTCAAGCGATTCTCCTGCCTCAGCCTCCCCAGTAGCTGAGATTACAGGCATGCGCCACCACGTCCAGCTAATTTTGTATTTTTCAGTAGAGACGGGGTTTCTCCATGTTGATCAGGTTGGTCGCGAACTCCCGACTTCAGGTGATTTGCCCGCCTCGGCCTCCTGCTGGGATTACAAGCATGAGCCACTGCATCTGGCTTATTTATGTATTTTTGAGACAAAGTATGGCTCTATCACCCAAGCAGGAGTGCAGTTAATGGTAGGATCTCAGCTCACTGCAACCTCCGCCTCCTGGGCTCAAGCTATCATCCCACCTCAGCCTCCCAAGTAGTTGGGACTACAGGTGTGCACCACCACACCCGGATAATTTTTTTTTTTTTTTTTTTTTTTTGTAGAGATAGGGTTTTGCCATGTTGCCCAGGCTGGTCTTGAACTCTTGACATGAAGTGATCCACCTGCCTAGGCCTCCCAAAGTGCTGGGATTACAGGAGTGAGCCACCATGCCCAGCCACTGGTTGTTAATCTTTTAAATATCATCCCTAAGAAGAAGAGACCTAGGTAACAGTTTCAGTTCTGTCTGTGGACTGGAAGGAGGTGTTGAAGAGGCCAATTTCTTTCCCTCCCTGCAACCCCTCCTCACAGGTAGAATGAGACAAGATGGAAAAACAGCTCCTTTAGCCCCTCCCGAATCACCGAATTAACCCTTTAGTTGCTGGACCATATGAATGATTCAGGATTGGCCTTGCTGTCAGAAAGATGAGGTGGATCCACAAGGTGGGGACAGCTGGTGTCAGAGGGCCATGGGATTAAGGACCTCTTTTATTCTCAACAAGCCTAGGTCATTGTTCTCTGAGTAGGTTGGAGATGAGTGGGTTGCTTGCCAGAAGGAGAGCTGGATGTGTCCTGTGCTTATGATCTCCCACATGGCCTGGCTCTGGTTACCTTAATGTCAAGACCCCGGAAAATAGTTTATCTTGTATGGCCTGGCTGTTAGGATGTTAGTGGAGGTAGGGGGTGCAGAGAAGCTGGGAAATACAGAAACCACAGTTGTTCTGTTGGGGGTGTTAGAGTGTAACAAGTTGGATGCAGACTTATAAAAGGCAAGATGAAAGGATTGGGGAGTCATTAGTAGGAAGATGTGTACCACTGAGTATCCAGTTACACTTTATGTATAATCATCAATCAGTGGACAGTGGCAGAGGACAGTTAAATACAGAGTCAGAATGCCTCAACTGTTCCTTCCAAATCAGGAGACAGACTGGAGACAGTAGGCAGAAATCAAGTGGCTGGGTAGTCACAGGGCCCAGGCATCTCCCTGCTGAACACCATGACTGGTGTAAACGAGGGACTCCTGTGAAGTGTGCGCATACTATCTACTGCCATCATGTGAAGGATGTAGGTCAGTGATCAGGTCTGGGGTAACCCATCTGAGGTTTGGGGTCTGGAGGAAATGTTACAGTTCATCAGGTCTTCCAGCCTTGGTCATGGCCAACATACAGGTTTCGTGACTGGCAAACATGGGTGTAGTTCCTGACATGAGGAGTAGTGAGTGCTAAAAACTGACATCAAGATCCTCCTAAGAAGGAAGGTTGTAAATTCAGGTGAAATGGTGGTCTGGATGGAGCAGCAGGGCTAATGTGACCTTTATAACCCATGGAGGAATGACATGGTGTTTTTCAAATGTAGTTGACCCTTGAACAACATGGATTTGAATGGCCTGGGTCAACTTATACATGAATTTTCTTCTGCCTCTGCTGCTTCTGAGACAGCAAGACTAGCTCCTACTCTTTCTCTTCCTTCTCAGCCTACTCAATGTGAAGACAGTGAGGATGAAGGCCTATATGATGACCCACTTCCACTTAATAAATAATAAATATATTTTCTCTTCCTTATGACTTTTTTTTTTTTTTTTTTTTTAACAGGATCTTGCTCTGTCACCCAGGCTAGAGTGCAGTGGCGCAATCATAGCTCACTTCAGCCTCACCTTCCCTGGCTCAAACAATCCTCCCATTTCAGCCTTTGGAGTAGCTGGAGCCACAGGTGTACACCACCACACATGCTAATTTTTAAAATTTTTGTAGAAATGGGATCTCTTCATATTGCCCAGGCTGCTCTCGAACTCCTGGGCTCAAGTCATCCTCCCAGTTTGGCCTCCCAAAGTGCTGGGATTACAGGTGTGAGATTTTTTTGTTTTTAATTGAGATAGGATCTCACTCTGTTGCTGTGGCATGATCACAGCTCACTGCAGCCTCAAACTCCTGGGTTCAAGGGTTCCTCTTGCCTCAAACTCCCAAGTAGCTAGGACCACAGGTGCATGCCACCATGCCCAGCTAATTTTTTTTTTTTTTTTTTTTTGAGACAGAGTTTTGCTCTTGTTGCCCAGGCTGGAGTGCAATGGTGCGATCTCAGCTCACTGCAACCTCCGCCTCCCGGGTTCAAGCGATTCTCCTGCCTCAGCCTCCCCAGTAGCTGAGATTACAGGCATGCGCCACCACGTCCAGCTAATTTTGTATTTTTCAGTAGAGACGGGGTTTCTCCATGTTGATCAGGTTGGTCGCGAACTCCCGACTTCAGGTGATTTGCCCGCCTCGGCCTCCCAAAGTGCTGGGATTACAGGCA